CAGCAGCGCCGCTCGCCCGTCCCTCCCTCCAGCCAGTCCCCAGCCCAGCAGCGCCGGTCCCCGGCCCCGCCACCCCCCTGCGCATCCCCAAATTCGGCATCCCCGCACCGCCTGCCCGGAGAGAGGATGGAGCTGGGCTACGCCAAACCCTCCAGCCGCCACATCAAGGCAGGATTCCAGGGTCGCCGCAGCTACTCGGAGGTGACCAACGTGGCTCTGTACCAGCAGAGCCGCTCGCTCTGGCTCCAGCCCGAAGCTTCCACTCTGCCCAAGCACCGTCCGTACGGCGAGGTGTACCTGGGGGGCTCGGGGGCTCCTCTGAGCACCAACGAGCCTTTCGAGGAGCACGTGCGCTTCGAGAAGCAATCGTCAGATGAGGAGGAGTGGGCTCTGCCCAGTCCTCCCAGTCCCGAGGCAGGAGCGATCCGCTGTGCTTCCTTCTGCGCCGGATTCCCCGTGCCCGACGCCGTGCACCGAACGGCTGCTGCCTATGCTCGGGGGGAACACGCTCAGTCCTGGCCCTCCATCAACGTGAGTGGGACCCCCACACACCCCACGGCATCGGGGGGTTGTGGTGGGTTTGGGGGGGAGAAGATGTAAAGGATGCCCAAGGTGGTTTCCTTGTGTTGTGCCTCGGTTTCCCCAATTCTAACCCAGCATCTCAGTTTAATTTCTGACTTAGCTTGCTCCCGGTGGTGAGTGGGTTCCAGGGAGGAGATGGGAGGAATGTGGTCACCCTGAAGGGCTCAGCATTGCTCTGTGCCCCCCACAGCTGCTGCTGGAGACGGTGGACTCGGAGGTGAGGAGCTGCCCGCTGTGCCAACTGGCCTTCCCCATCGGCTACCCGGACGATGCCCTGGTGAAGCACATCGACTCCCACCTGGAGAACAGCAAGATCTGAGCCTTCTTCCCCTCCTTCCCAACCTTTGGATGCTGCATGACAACACACCGGGAGCCACACAGCTCCCAAAATACCTCCAAGTCTTCAGTAGCTATGGAAAGACTGAACCCCAGCCCACCCAGAGCCCCCCCAGAGCCCTCAGCCCCCGGGGAGTGGGTTCCTCTGTGCCAGCCTCGCCCCATCCCT